AGAGATAGAAAAAGTAGTTACAAAGGTAAACAAGGAGTTTAGAATGCAGCACTGTAGGTTTGTGTGTCATAACATTGGCTAAGAAAGCTTACACTGTAGCATGAGTCCATAAGACAAAATATTGAAGGATTGTGTCAAAACCATAAAAATCCTTGTTGGCAGTGTTTTACTGGTTAATAAATCCTTAAAATGTCTTGTAACTAGGGGGTTTGTGACCTTCTGAACCATGCTATGAAGATGTGAGACAAACTCACCCTTCCTGCCTGTGTAGAAGATAGGAAAAATAAATCACATCATCTAAAAAATTCAGAGGTCCTGTCTCTAACTGAAAACTCCTTCAACAATCCCCATACCAGAGATCATCTGTGAGTCTGGCAGTGACAGGAATTTCTGTTTTATGAATGGGCAGTACCAGGCTGTTTGATAACCATGTGAGGACAGGGACTCCTGAAATCCCATTCAGGAGATGGAAACTGGATCCTTTCCAGCAAGAAGGGACTGAGGTGGGGAGCAGAAAACACAAGACAGGGCTTAGCTAAGCTTCATCAGCATGAGGAAGAGCCCAGATTAGTGGCCTAAATCGTTCAGGCAGTTTAATAACCAAGCACCTGCCATTGTCAGAGCAAGAAAGCAATGCCCAATCATTTATTTAATGCATGTGTTTCACCCCCTCAGCAACCAGACTTCATGCAGGGAGCAAAGGTAGAGTCCCTGTGGCTGGTGGATGGATGGACTGACTCCCTGGAAAGTGTTGGGCCCAGGGCTGGAGGGACAAGGTCACAATTGCTCTGCACAGCACAGAAATGTGCTCTCAGTGCTGCTGAGCAGAGCTTCCCTTCATCTCAGCTGCCTGTCACCAGCACAATGCTAATGCTCTGCTGGCTCAGAAGGAGCTGGGAGTGGGTTGGGATATTCCTGTGCTGTGTAGGATGTGAAGGAATGTGTAGACAACAGAAGGAGGAGAACAACAATAAAGTTTGGGAGGAAGAGCACGGAGATCACAAAAAAAAAAAAAATCCAGAGAAAAATCACCTTTTCCTCCAGATTTAAAAAAATCTGGGGGAAAATCACCCTTGACATCAAAGTGGGAATTCAGGATGAATGTTTTTGGTGTTGGGTGAGAAGTTTAGCAGGGGTTGAGGACAGACTGTCCTGCTGGATGTTGGAGGAACAAAAATCTGTGTGGCCAGCCCTGTGGGGGATGCAGAGTGAGACATGCTATGGCTTGTATTTCCCTCCAGCAGGCTGTCAAAAGAAATCCTCATCTGGCCAGCCTCCTGGGCACAGGGTGAGGATTACTCCTCAGTTACTCACAAGCATGCACTCACAATCTGGGGACCACGCTGAGCTCACTTCCCTGGCACAAAATGGGGAAAGTTGCCAAAATCCAGCGTGTTAAAACCCCTGCTTTTCCTCCCTGGGCACCCAAGGAAACACTGCACATGGTCTGCCTCTTACTCTGCCAATTCCCTGGCAAGAGCAGCATCAGGCTCCCTCTCCTGTTTCGTGCTCAGAGGCCCTGACCCCAGGGACCCTCAGACAGGTGCAAAATAGGTGTAAAATAGGGATTGTCTGCCTGACCACAGGGTTTCTGAGTTGATTTTTTCCACCCATCAGCAAAAACAATTAGGATTTCATTGCACTGACCCATGGGTGTTGCTGCATCCTGCTGCTCAGCACTGCTCACTCCAGGAGGGATGAGGGAATGGAGTCCCAGGGCCAGCACAAAAGGGAGGTGGGGAGAGCCCTCCCGCATTTCCTGCTCACAATCTCTTGTTAACTCTAATAACTTGTCAACTCCAATTATCCTTTGAATGGCTCGGGGAATAAATCCAAATCAGAGCAGTGTATGCAGAGAGAAGGGCATTACCCAGCATTACCCAGCCTGGGAATCACCCAGGAGAAAACAACTGCTTCCAATCCCAAGGGATTTCAATCCTCCTCTCACAACAGGATCAAACACTACCTGCAGTCACTCATTCTTCAGAAGGATGAGGGGAGAGCACGGGAGCTCCCCAGGGCCATCAGCACTTCCAGGGATGTCTGGCAAAGGCGATAATGGAATCACAGAATGGTTTGGGCTGGAAGGGACCTAAAAAATCACCTCATTCCAACCCCTCTGCCATGGGCAGGGACACCTCCCACTAGACCAGGTGGCTCAAATCCCCACGGACTCTCCATGGAATCTGTGTAATACATGACACTCCTCAGGTCACTTCTGTTTAGAAACTGTGGGAAATACATTTGTGGAGAATTCTCAAAGCCTGGCAGAAGGCTCACACAGTGTGCATCTGAATGCAAACCTCGAGATAAGAAATGCTGGCTTAGAAATGCCATGGAACAGGACAGACATTGCTGAGAGAGAAATGGAACTAGAAACAAGTTCTAAAAGATGGTTTTGTGTAAATAAGACTAGGTGCTTTGGAGAAATAGAACTGTGAAAGATGCACTGTAGTAGAACCATTGAGGGGTAATTTTAGATTATTGTCTTTAAGGCATTTGCAGCATGGTGTGGCAAAAACTGATAGGCCAAGAAATGCTTATAATGTATTGTAATTAAGAATTAATTGGCTTCTGATTGTGATGGCGTGAATTATAGCATCTGTATTGTCTCAGCCTTCTCATGAGACTGAACATGAAATAAAAGTTTTTAGAACACCTCTCAGTTACCCCATCTCTGAATCAGTATAATCCAACAAGAAATGTTTTGGAGACTCATGAAAATAGGAAGGGAATATATTCCTGTCTCCCAAAGTACTGCAGCCCCGTGAGCCTGCTCCGTGTACGAGGGCAGCCTGCTCAGCTGGGTCCTTTGGAGACCTCTTGGGGAGCTCTGATCCACATTCTTGCTCCTTGGAGCAATTCTGCCACTTGTCCAGCCCCTGGCAATATTACCCAAAACATCTGCCCTGTTTTCAGCTGCTCCATCAGCTCCTGAGTCCTGCTCCACCACTTTGGGGGATATTTTCCCTGGAGAACAGTTTGCCTGGAAGGCACCTGATCCATCTGACTGCAGCAGAAAGCACCACAAAACCCCCCAAAATCACAATTCCCTTCCCAAAATAAATGAGCTGTCCATCCAGTGAAGCCAGTTTCTGACAGATGTGTCAAGCAGAAGTGCTCTACCTGCTGATGCTGTGAGCCCCGGGGGAATTCTCCCCAAGCCCAGCTGGTGCTTAGCCCATGCCCCCAAGCATGAATTCCAATTTTCCCTGGCTGATGCTGTTCACCTGAGCAGTCACAGGGAAATTAGACTGGGGCAGTTCTGTCCTCCTCTTGGCGCTAAAAGCAGAATTTTTGCTGGCAGCTTCCCTCACAGACAGATGCCAGCAGGCCAGGCACAGCTTTATTTAATCCCAAATTTTGGCCAGTGAAGGCATAAGGCTCCCTTACCTGTGTAACATCAGCACATCCTAACAGCAAAAATGCAACTTGTACAATATAATTAATTCTATGAGTATGTGCTGTTCTCTCCTTCAAACCAGTGTAACTAAAATAACACTTCTGTTTCAACAGAACTTTTTGTATTTGCATCATTATAACCCTTGACTACCAGGCTGGCAATTCCAGAAACTTCAGGTGCAGAGCGGTTATAAAATATTCCTTTAGAAAGTAGTTTATTAAACAACAAATTTTTTTGTCACCAATCACCAGGCAATGTCACCGTGACTGCTGATAAAAATAGATTAATTTAAATTTTAAAGATCACCTTCTGTTGCCATTAGGAACTGAATATTTTTCATTAGAAACTGAATATTTTTCATTAGTGCCAGAGATTTATCAGAATTACTTTCCATTCTAAGAGATGGGAAAGGTCTTGATAATTCATTTATCACTCCATAAGGCTAATTTATTAATAAAAGCAGACACCCTTGTGGAGGCTGCTGGACAAAATCATTGAACTGAGGTTTGATTTTGCATTTTTGCAATAGTCAGCTGAAGAGGGAAGAATCTGTGTAACATCAGGACACAGGTGGGTAAATTCACTGGGGTTTGTAATCCAAGCCCTTCTTCTGCAGTCTAATAAAGAAAATTTCTACTTTTACACCAGTGAAGAAGAAATGGGTTTGAGTTCAGGATGATAACAGGGGTGTGAATATCCTGCCCTCCCCTTTCTCCAGCCCCCAGGTACCCTGTAATCTCCTTGGTGTATTTTCCCATTCTTGTTCTGAATTTCAACAAAAGAAATGTTCCTTTTTAGCCATTCCCAGCTACACCATATATTTTTTCCCCTATTGGCTGCAAGAGCAATGATCTCAACTAGATACTGCTGCTAAAATTACATCCTGCTTTTCCTGCCTTGGTCAGCCTGCCTGTTTAAAGTTGTCACTTAATTCCATGCCAAAACTGTTGTCATCTCAGTAGAAACCTGGCAAAATTACCTTAAAATTAGCTTAATAACATAATTTACACTTACATTTTAAAATGTAAGGGAAACCTGAGTCTCTAAGCAAGCCAGACAGCTCCTTATTGCCATGAACCAGTTCAGCACCCACGGCGACTTTTCCTCAACCTCGACTCATTTGGGTTTTTTCTTCAATAGAAGCCCATGAATGAACCCATACTGGGAACTTTGCTTTGTTTATAATTTCTCGGTGTGAATATGCTGCTGAAGCAGAGCAATATTTGCAGAACAGAACTCAGACAGGGGTTGCTGATTATAGGTTGGCATAAGGGCTGTGGATGTGAAATTTTCGGGTTTGCTGTGATAACTGCAGATCAAGATCTGCTCTGATCCCAAGGGGGATTCCTCTGTGACAGGGCAAGCTGATCAAGGGTGCTGAGCTGGAAAAGGCAGCACCTTGGGCTGGTGGCTTTAGCAGTTGTAGTTTTCCTCATGGTCAGGAGCAAAGATGTGAAGGGAACACACAAAACTCTCTTTTTTCCTGCCTGTGAGGGATGGTGGCTGCTGGGGAGTGAGCAGCTCTGAGGAACCACACCCCTGGGCAGGGGTTAAGGGAAGAGGAGGGGAAAAAAGGTGGAATTTGATCTCTACTCACATTTATGGGACAAAAGGACATCAAAAGAGTCTGCCCATCTTGTGGCTTCTTCTGTTGACAGTCTTCTGTAAGGAAAGGAAGGGGCAAGTTACAGACAAACCCCAGCTGCTCATCCCCTCTGGAGCTGTTTGGTGAGGACACCGAGGAAGGCTGGAATTCCTCTCGCCTGATTTTGGAGGTCTAGGATGTAGAACTGAGCCAAGTGGCCCTGGGCTTCCTTTAGAATCACTGAGGAGATCCCAAGGGACCTGCAGGGACTCTGCTCAGCTCACATGCCCAGCAGGCAGGTAAAATAGGCCAGATGAATCATGGCCAAAAAGGCACCAATTTTTCCTCCTTGACTCTAAGCAGAGGCCCGGGAAACAAGCTCAGATGCAGACATTTACATTGTAAAAGCCAAAAGTCAGGCGAAATGGAACTCAGCCCTGCAGAAGTGTTTATTTCTCTGGCTTGCCTTTCAGAGGAAGGACAGATCTTATCTCAGGTGGAAGCAGGGACTTGTGATCAGACGAGTCCCATCCCACACTTCTCAATCAGGATTCTGGAGGGTTTGAAGCATCTCCCTCCAGCATTGTGCAAACCATCACCCGAATTTTAGCAGTGTCAAATACAAGGCTGTGCTGAAGATGACCTGAAATTTCTGGTCACCTCTTACACCAAGCCAACTGCTCAGGCTTTGATTTGTGATGACAGAGGTGTAAATTACATCCTCAGAGAGGTGCAGACACGTCCCCCACACAGCAGTGGGGACTGGGAGCACATCCTGTCTCACAGTGCCAAAGATCCAGGAATTTCCTGAGGCTGTTCCTGCTGGATCAGTGCCGCTTTGTTTTCCTCCTGGAAGCACTCACAGCTCATACAAAGTACAACGAAAGGAAGACAGCACTGGAGGGGGTGGTGGGTGGGGAGGGGAAGGGCAGGAGTGGGGTTGGGGTGGGGTGCTGCAGCTATACTCACTTCAAAGCCCGGTTGGGCTTGTCCGGAAGAATAGCTGTGAAATCATTATATGAGTCTGATTTGTGAGACAGGCAGCCCAGGCGAGTCCTCATCCCTCTGCTCCTGTGGTCGAGGTGGGGAAGCAGGGGTGTTAGCAGGGGAAAACCAAAGAACAGGATGATTATAAGTCTAGCCAGCTTGGCAAAAGGAAAAGAACAAACCCAAAATAAATAAATAAATAAATAAATAAACCTCAGCAGCTCTGTGCCAGATCTGTGTCCTTGGTTCCCTCATGTGTGAGAGGGACCCTGAGACATCTCCAGGCTGATGTTAAGGGTGAACACAGCACTAGAGCAGCTGAAGGCTCCCTCACAGCAGACTTTCAGCTGCCTTGGCTGGCAGAAAGGCTTTGAAAAGCTGAGCTTTGGGATGGTTTCTTGGAAAGTCCTGCTCTGGTCAGGTGTGGGAGGAGAGCAATGGGTAGCAGTACAAGAAATCGGTCACCACGTTCCAGCAGCACCAAAACCAGCACAAATACCTGATGTGGAGGGCAGGAGGGGGCTGGAGAAAGGAGAGGGGTGGGAAGGCACCTGCAAGGTGAGCCTGTGCTGCAGCCCCGTGAGTTCCCAGCCAGGATCGATCCCGAGCCGCTTCTTTAGACTCAGGATTACATAAGCAGGATCAAACTGCCTGTTTCCTGACACGCTTACCCAGGCAGAAAATGGCTTTATAGCTTTTTTTCCTCTAAATTTCAGCCCAGCCCCAGAGCCTTCGATCCCGTGCCAGCCCCTGGTGTCCTTGCCCAGCCCCTTCCCAGGACAGCAGCATCCTTCATTACATAACCCGGGATGGGCAGGACAGAGGGACAGGGAAAGGGAGCACATGCATTGCACAGGACTGGCATCACCCTCTCCCCAAAAACATGCGGGGGCTGCTTCTTGGGTTTGCATGGGCTCTGTGATCTGCCTCTCCAGCCCGAGGGTGTCTCCTCTTGGAGATTCCCTGGACATCAATCTGGGCCATTCTCTCCTCGGGACCATGGGAGGAACATCCAGCGACCCCATCTCCACTTCTCAGCTGCTGGACCTCCTTTGGAGCTGCTGAAAGCCCTTCTCCAAGCCCTGCTCCCAGACAGATGCCCAATACTCTCTGTGGCAGCACAAGTACAGCGTTTTTTCCCCTTCCATCTGTAATTCTTGCAGAACACTTCAGCACCAGTGCCTGAGCCAATCTGTAGCGCGCCTGTTTCCCCCTTCCCCTCCCGCCCTTCGGAGAGCTTCTATTATTGCACATTTTAATGTAATCTTAAAGCAAATTAAATGTTAATTAAATGCACCGAGTGTCTCCCTGGTGCAGCACAGGCAGCTCGCAGCATTTAACAAGCACAAAACCCAGGAGCTCCTCAGTCACAGGAATTGTTGCACAGCCTCCAACTACGGCCCCACGGCCGTGGGCACTGCACAAACTCCAGAGGAGAGCACAGGGAGTGCCACGTTCCCAGCTGTGGGCACCAAACCCACTGGAGGATCCTTCTGGTCCCTCTCCAGATGCCTCCTACCCTCCCCCTTTCCGTGCCCTGCTCTGTTTGCTCACGAATTTCCCAGCAAGAGGTGTGACAGGCGTCACCGCAGCGCTGCTCCGGTTCCCCCGTGGGGCCTGAGATCAAGGGGCTGCAGCAGGGAATCAGAGCAGGGAGCTGGGAATCAGAGCTGGGAGCTGCTTCCTCATGGAAAACACTTCTCTCAGTGAGGACTTCCAAGACAGGACACAGGGGAGAGAGAGAGAGGGAGAGGAAGTGGGTGTGGAGAGGTGGAGAGGCAAGGGAAGGGCAGCAGGGGACACTGCAGTGGGCAGAGGGGCTTGCTGGACGAGGCAGACAGTGACAGGATGGCAGATCTGGGGGATGCACCGTGCTCTTTGCAGTTACCTCCGTGGGATCAGTAAGGCAGCCATTCAGGCATCCAGCTATGGTTAACCCTTTAACTGGCTGGCTTGGACCGCAGTCAGGGCTGCTTGCAGGAGGCAGGAGGGCAGGAGGAAGGGATCTACTGTTTCATGTCCTGGCACTTAAAAATACACCAAAGAATCCTCTTTGCCAAAGCCAAGAAGGGCCAGTTGTCCTCAACCCATTTGATCCTTGCCTCCTAGAGTGGAAAGTCAATTGTTCAATGGAAGACGTTGAGAGCTGAGGGATGGCCACAGAGGAGAGACAGCATTTCCTTCTAGGACCAGGTAAAGTCCAACTTCAGCTCTGAAGCAGGGTGAGTTTGGTGTCCCAGCTCACCAGGGAGCAGCAGGAGTTGGCATTATCCCACTCATCCTCCAGCACCTCCGAAGGTCTCTCCTCAAGGGGCAGAGCTCCGGGCTGAGCTCGCTAAGAAGACCAAACTACCTCTTGTGCCTGTCCCTCCAGGTCATGGCTGGTGGTACTGGCCAGGCATCACGGAAAAGCTGGCACTGCAAACAGAACAACAGGAGGACTTCACACATCTGCAGGTGCTGCTGCTTTCACCACCACGGGCTCACACAGAAATAACAAAGCAAGCAGGGCCACGCCAGGGTGGTGGGAGCCTGAGGGAGCCAAGGAGATGCACAGCCTGCAAAAGGGGAGGGAAGGAGAGAAGGAAAAAAGGAGGGAAGGAAAGAAGGAGGGAAGGAAAGAAGGAGAGAGGGAGACTGGAGATGGTGGGTTCCTCGTGAGCCTTGGCACACTGGGGATCAACTGGTTGACAACCCTCACATCAACAGAGAGTGAAGGTGAGATCCAGCAGGCAGGAGAGCCAGGGGACAGAGAACAGGACTCCACAATGAGCAAAGGCAGAGGTTTCTGCTTTGCCAAGCTCCAGGTACCCTCCATGTCGTGGTGTCACTGGGAACAACTGAGGAGGAGCCCAAGGAGCTGATGAGAGCTGAGAGGGTGTGCAAGGAGCCAGGACCCTGCTCTGCTGGGGCCTGGGGAGACCCAAGAGCTTGGACTGCCCAGTGCAGCATCCCTCTTAAAACCTGATTACATTAAAAAGGCACAAAGCCTCTTCCCCACTCAATTAATGGAGCCGGGATTGTGCTGCATTGCCAGTGAGTGCATTCCCTTAATCCTCGCCCCGACCGGCTGCTTCTCTGACTGAAATCAATCCTTGTAATTCCTTAAGCCCTTCTAAATTTCCTCATTAACAGCCTCACCCCCATGTGGGGCCACAGCACATGACTTCCTAGAGTCCAGCAGCTCCTGCTTCTCTTTCCCGCTGCTGCTCCGAGCTGGCAGCGGAGCCATCTGCCCTCTCCCCCTTGCAGCCTCCTCCAGCAGCCTGAATTTTGGGGTATTGTTATGAAAGAGCCTTCTGCTCGCCCCCAGTCACCCACTGAGCCCCCAGAGCAAGCACCTGCACCACTGAGCAGCACCCAACTTCCCCGAGATCCCAAAGTCTGTCTGACTTCAGGGGTGCTGGACCTACATTCCCCGTGGAGGCAATCCCACTGCTCAGCTGGCACACCCGTGGATGTTCTCTCTGTCTGCAAACAAAATCCAGTCAGTTTTGGCTTTAAAATGTAATCTGTGGTGTCTGGTAAACTGCAATAAAGGTCTTGGTGAGAGGTTTTGCCTCCCCTGCTCCATCCTTCATGCTGCCTCCCCCTCCTGTGGAAGGAAGCCGGTCAAGGAGAACAACCAGCCTCATCATGGATGAGTTTTGGGGGTTTCTCCTTGGCAGACAGCAAGGGAGGAGTGTGATTAGGACGTTCAGGTTATCAAACCACCTGGGCAAAGATAAGGAAGCCATCCCAATCCAAAAAAAACCAGCAGCACAAAGGTTAAAAAACCAACCAAACAAATAAACAGAACAGCAAACCATGAGATCTCCAGGGGCTTCAGGAGATTAAGACCATCCGTTCACATGCAGGGAAAGCCAAGGGGGAAAAAAAACCGAGCACGGAGGCACTGCAGACAGACAGACGCCGAGAAGAAGATACTCACTGCCTTTGACCTGTCCTCTCTGCCGGGGGGTCTGCGCCGACAGCGTGCTCGGAGCGGCTCTGGGGAGACAGCAGAGCGGGCTTCTTCAGCGCCAGCCCTGCTCGGGGTGACAGGCACACCTCGGCACTCCTCCCCTCCCCTCCCCACCCTCCCCGGCAGCAGCAGCGCAGCTCAGAGCCGCTCTCGCATCAGCCCCAGCCCGGCTGCGCAGCGCTCCGAGCGCTCCCAGCCGCCTCTGCCAGGAGCCCCGCGCATTCCCGCGCATCCCAGCGCATCCCAGCTCAGGCACGCCTCGGCACTCCTCCCCTCCCCTCCCCACCCTCCCCGGCAGCAGCAGCGCAGCTCAGAGCCGCTCTCGCATCAGCCCCAGCCCGGCTGCGCAGCGCTCCGAGCGCTCCCAGCCGCCTCTGCCAGGAGCCCCGCGCATTCCCGCGCATCCCAGCGCATCCCAGCGCATCCCAGCTCATCCCAGCTCACCCCAGTGCATCTCAGCGCATCCCAGCTCACCCCAGCGCATCCCAGCGCATCCCAGCTCACCCCAGTGCATCCCAGCGCATCCCAGCTCACCCCAGCGCATCTCAGCGCATCCCAGTGCATTCCCGCGCACCCAGCTCACCCCAGTGCATCCCAGCAGGAGAGAGGGAGACTGGAGATGGTGGGTTCCTCGTGAGCCTTGGCACACTGGGGATCAACTGGTTGACAACCCTCACATCAACAGAGAGTGAAGGTGAGATCCAGCAGGCAGGAGAGCCAGGGGACAGAGAACAGGACTCCACAATGAGCAAAGGCAGAGGTTTCTGCTTTGCCAAGCTCCAGGTACCCTCCATGTCGTGGTGTCACTGGGAACAACTGAGGAGGAGCCCAAGGAGCTGATGAGAGCTGAGAGGGTGTGCAAGGAGCCAGGACCCTGCTCTGCTGGGGCCTGGGGAGACCCAAGAGCTTGGACTGCCCAGTGCAGCATCCCTCTTAAAACCTGATTACATTAAAAAGGCACAAAGCCTCTTCCCCACTCAATTAATGGAGCCGGGATTGTGCTGCATTGCCAGTGAGTGCATTCCCTTAATCCTCGCCCCGACCGGCTGCTTCTCTGACTGAAATCAATCCTTGTAATTCCTTAAGCCCTTCTAAATTTCCTCATTAACAGCCTCACCCCCATGTGGGGCCACAGCACATGACTTCCTAGAGTCCAGCAGCTCCTGCTTCTCTTTCCCGCTGCTGCTCCGAGCTGGCAGCGGAGCCATCTGCCCTCTCCCCCTTGCAGCCTCCTCCAGCAGCCTGAATTTTGGGGTATTGTTATGACAGAGCCTTCTGCTCGCTCCCAGCCACCCACTGAGCCCCCAGAGCAAGCACCTGCACCACTGAGCAGCACCCAACTTCCCCGAGATCCCAAAGTCTGTCTGACTTCAGGGGTGCTGGACCTACATTCCCCGTGGAGGCAATCCCACTGCTCAGCTGGCACACCCGTGGATGTTCTCTCTGTCTGCAAACAAAATCCAGTCAGTTTTGGCTTTAAAATGTAATCTGTGGTGTCTGGTAAACTGCAATAAAGGTCTTGGTGAGAGGTTTTGCCTCCCCTGCTCCATCCTTCATGCTGCCTCCCCCTCCTGTGGAAGGAAGCCGGTCAAGGAGAACAACCAGCCTCATCATGGATGAGTTTTGGGGGTTTCTCCTTGGCAGACAGCAAGGGAGGAGTGTGATTAGGACGTTCAGGTTATCAAACCACCTGGGCAAAGATAAGGAAGCCATCCCAATCCAAAAAAAAACCAGCAGCACAAAGGTTAAAAAACCAACCAAACAAATAAACAGAACAGCAAACCATGAGATCTCCAGGGGCTTCAGGAGATTAAGACCATCCGTTCACATGCAGGGAAAGCCAAGGGGGAAAAAAAAACCGAGCACGGAGGCACTGCAGACAGACAGACGCCGAGAAGAAGATACTCACTGCCTTTGACCTGTCCTCTCTGCCGGGGGGTCTGCGCCGACAGCGTGCTCGGAGCGGCTCTGGGGAGACAGCAGAGCGGGCTTCTTCAGCGCCAGCCCTGCTCGGGGTGACAGGCACACCTCGGCACTCCTCCCCTCCCCTCCCCACCCTCCCCGGCAGCAGCAGCGCAGCTCAGAGCCGCTCTCGCATCAGCCCCAGCCCGGCTGCGCAGCGCTCCGAGCGCTCCCAGCCGCCTCTGCCAGGAGCCCCGCGCATTCCCGCGCATCCCAGCGCATCCCAGCTCATCCCAGCGCATCCCAGCTCACCCCAGCGCATCCCAGCGCATCCCAGCGCATCCCAGCGTATCCCAGCTCACCCCAGTGCATCCCAGCTTATCCTAGCTCACCCCAGTGCATTCCCGCGCACCCAGCGCATCCCAGCTCATCCCAAAGCAACCCCGCACATCACAGCTCATGCCAGCTCACCCCAGTGCATCCCAGCTCACCCCAGTGCATCCCAGCTCACCCCAGTGCATCCCAGCGTATCCCAGCTCATCCCAAAGCAACCCCGCACATCACAGTTCATCCCAGCTCACCCCAGAGCATCCCAGCTCATCCCAAAGCAATCCCGCACATCCTAGCTCACCCCAGTGCATCCCAAAGCAACCCCGCACATCACAGCTCATGCCAGCTCACCCCAGTGCATCATTGCTCATCCCAAAGCAACCCCGCACATCCCAGCTCATCCCAGCGCATCCCAGCCCTTCCCAGCACATCATTGCTCATTCCAGCTCATCCCCGCGCACCCAGCTCACCCCAGTTCATCCCAGCGCTTCCCAGCTCATCCCAGCTCACCCCAGTGTATCCCAGTCCCTCCCAGCCCATCCCAGCCCATCCCAGCCCATCCCAGCGCATCCCAGCTCATCCCCGCGCACCCAGCTCATCCCAGTCCATCCCAGCGCATCCCAGCGCATCCCAGGCTCACCCAGCCGGCAGCAGCATGCAGCCTCTCCCCGCGGGCCCGAGGGGCACGGCGGAGGATGCCAAGGGCTGCCAGGGAGCACCGGGACGGGGCTGCCTGCCAGGCTGGGCTGGGATGGATTCCAGAGGCTCCCGGGGCTTCAGGGGGGCTGCTGCCCCACACCGCTCATCTCCGGGAGCTGCCACACACAAGAGAGGTTCACCCAAGGGCCCAGGTGTCAGCAGGGCCGCGGGGGATTTGGCACAAAGCAAAGGAGGGTTTTATTGCCGGGCACGGGAGGAGAGAAGGGAAACGCTCCCAGAAGTGTGGCAGACAGCCTGGACCCCCCGGGGCTGGACACCCCTCGGTGCCCTCACCCCAGAGTGTGGCTGCAATCCCTTTTTCCTCCTCAGAAACACGTGTGGGGTGTCCAGGGCACCACAACAACCTCACCCGTGGCACCAGCACCCCCCCAGCTGCTCAGCACAGCCAGCAGTGTCACACTGATGGGGGTCACAGCCTCACTGACAGCTCAAGCCAGGGGATCTCCATTGATATCTTTGATCCTGACAAAGGTGATCGACCAAAACAAACAAAAAACACAAAAATAAGAAGAATTATCATAATAAAAAAAGTCCTCTGCTGTTTAACAAGTCGTTGCCTGTCACATTCACATTCTCTGAAAAATCCCTTCACCCAGGATTTTTCTCCTGGAAAGCTGAGAAGCCTCAGAGAAAAATGAAAACAATAATTATCTCATTTGCTTCTCCTCTGTTGTGCTCATGTAAAACATGTTTAAAATTTATTTATCCAACAAGTAATTGTTTCATTAGTTACTGCTGTATTTTCACTCATTAACGAATCAGTGCCAAGCTATATTGAGACTCTAGAAAGAGTCACCAGTTTTCATTATTATCTTTTTAGCATTCTGTAAATATCCTTTCTGAATGCTTTAATATAGTTTAGTATAATATTATTTAATATAATATCATGAAATAATAAATTAACCTTCTGAAAACATAAAATCAAATTCATCATTCCTTCCTACCCACCACAAAAATCCCTGCACATACAATAATTGCCTTTTCCCTGGAAACTTCAGTCACCTTCCAGTCTGCTCAAACACTGCTGGCACCCCGGTGCAATGAGCAGGAAACATGCCTTGAGATAGCACATTATCACCAGGCCCCATCCCTGGGGAGAGGCAAAACCTCCTGGAACAGCACGGGGATTAGCAGCAGTGCAGCAAAGGTCCCGGCTCCCCGTCAGCCTGGCTCCCCTCCTGCGCTGCCCGCCGTGCTGGGGAGATGTTTGCCTTGTGCTCATCCTGCCCTGGCAAAGCCCAGGTCCTCCCGGCTGGGCTTAATCACATCTCCACTTATCAGAGGACAAGCACTGCAAAACTGCCCTGGCCAGTCAAAGGTTGAGGTTCATCCTCTGCCTCTCTTGCCACAGGCTGCTTTGGCCAAGTTAAATAACAGTCAGCTGCAGCCCTTGCCCCAAAACCCAAGCCAAATTTAACTCCTAACGTGTCATTTTTGGTTTAGTGCAGCGTTTCCATGCCCCCAGGTTCCCTCTGGGCACTGCAGGGGCTCACGAGTGACAAGGTTTTCATAACAGTCCCAGGACATCCCTGAGCCCTCACTCACAAACACATTGTGGGCTGGAGGGGGTCACCAAAATGTTCAATCCACACAGCTCGGGGTGATTCTGCTCCATTATTCAGATTTTCTGAGACTTTGCTGCAGTCCCAAACAGATCAGGTTCTGGTCCACCTGCACTGGATGGGACAAATTCCTGGATCATGAGAGTGCTCCCATTTCTCCCTCTGCTTATATTTATTTATAAATTTATATCTATAAATTTATTTATAAATTTATAATTTATAGATATAAATTTATAAATATTTATTTATAAATTTATAATTTATAGATATAAATTTATAAATATTCATTTATAAAATTATTAATAAATTTTATATATTTATAATTATATTATAGTTTTTATTTTAAAAGTATTTATTTATAAATTCATATATTTATTTTTTATATTTAAATTATTAGTATATTTTATTCTATATTTTCTATAATATATAAATACTTTCTATTTATTTATATATTATATATAAATGTAATTATAATTATAATTATGTACATACATATTTTATATCTTTATCTAAACATCTGATTTATATATTTTTATAAATATATCTTTTATAAATTTCTATAAATATATATTTTTAGATATTGCCATCTCACCGCCATCACCAGGATGAG